TCACTGTCTGTGGTGATGTACATGGTCAGGTAATGAAACTACTTCCATTAGAGCTTTGCATTGTTGAATTTTTTAAGTATTTTAGTTTTCCAATATTATGGTTCTCTACCTGCCCTAGTTTATGTTTACACTGCCACAATCACCGTATTTGATCTTGACATTAGAAATTCAAGTTCCTTTGTTTGTAAAACAGTGAAATTATTTAGTACTGTATCTATTCCAGATTCTCAGGTGCAAAAACTGTTTATGTTCCAAATCTTGTTCTGATATTGATGTTACGATTATATGCACTGATAGTTCAGTTTGCATGCCTTGAAAATCCTGTGCAAAGGAGATGAGATTAGGTAGATCTAGCATAGACACATTGATATGGGAGGCATTAAAGGGCGTTTTCTCAAATTTCCTTAGTTCATGAAGAAGTCTAAATGCATGGACACCTACATATGTGAAACTTTGAAATGGCTCTATTAGTCCGTTTAGTTGTCTGTATTAGGGTTAGGATGTGATGGAAGTCTTGTGAAACAGTTTTAATCCTCTTATTATTTAACTTTTTATGCACGTTATATTGCTTTCTGATTTGTACATGTAACTCCCTTGACAATTTGTGTGTTTGTGTTCTATTGAAGTTATACTCTTTAAGGTAACTGCATGTAGAATAATTTCCTTTTCCTGTGCCTTTTCCTTTGCAGCATTTACTGATTTCAGTGTTTTTTATTCCTGGGTTTTTGCAGTTTTATGATCTGTTAAACATATTTGAGCTCAATGGGTTTCCATCAGAAGATAATCCCTACCTTTTTAATGGTGACTTCGTCGATAGGGGGTCCTTTTCTGTGGAGGTCATACTGACGCTCTTTGCTTTCAAGTGCATGTGTCCGACAGGTAGCCACTTTTGTCCTTTCTGAAAGTATTGCCTTTTTCTAAGCATTTTTGGCTAGTGCTGGCTGAATTACTTCTATTCCTCTAATTTTCTTCTGAAAATGTTTGACGTATTCAAGTACATACAATTTTGGAACTTTTCTTTAAAAGTACATTTTGATGAAGCTCTAAACTTGGCACTTAATTAAAATCACTGCACTTCTGGTACTTCTGAGGTTTATGCATTCAGGATCAATAATGGACTCAATTAGTTGGTTGAACATGCTGTTCCCTTTAATACAATCTTATTTCTTTTCTTTTCCTCTTCCAACAAAGCAGTTGTGCATTTCCTGTCTGTTTTCTGACTTGACAGCCTGTTTGGTCAAGCATGAGGGGTCATCATTATCTACCTTATTTGGTTGCAATGTGGTTATTTTGATGTTGACACTCTGTTTTGTTTATCTGGGTTATGGAATTCTGAGAAGATTTATATTGCTTATAAGTGTTGAACATCTTATTTTCTGTCACAACTTCTACAACCAGGAAGATGAGCACATCTTCCAATTTCTTTGAGAACTTTCGAAACATTTTGCTTTCAGTTGTGATCTTTATTAGCCTCAAATTATTTAGGTATTTTCCCGGAAATTAAGGGTGCAACTAATTCAGTGTCTGACATTTCCAGCCATGTATCTCGCCCGAGGGAACCATGAGAGCAAGAGCATGAACAAAATATATGGCTTTGAGGGTGAAGTCAGATCAAAACTAAGTGAAATATTTGTGGAACTGTTCGCGGAAGTTTTCTGTTGTTTACCTCTTGCACATGTTATAAATAATAAAATCTTTGTGGTACATGGAGGGCTTTTCAGTGTTGATGGGGTGAAGCTCTCCGAAATCAGTGCAATCGACCGGTTTCGAGAACCACCTGAGGAAGGTGACTTTGATGCTGTATTTCTTTTTTCTTTTTTTCCTTTTTATGCTGAGTTGCATTTCATGTTTGAATAGTATCATAGCCAGAATTTGATTCATCATATCTACCAGCAATTTATGGAACCCCTCAGTTGACAGTTGACAGTTTTCTGTTTATTGCTTGTTTTCAATACTCTTTACTCATCTGAAACAGTAGTAATCCTTGTGAGATATCTCTCTTATATTCGAAACTTATGAACTGCGTAGCTTTCTGAAACCACGTGTCTCCTCCTAGGAATGTCCAACCATGAATCTCAAGCTAAATGTTCAAACACCATGAATCACTATAGCATGTATAATACCTTTTTTTTTAAATTCGACAGGGTTGATGTGTGAATTGCTTTGGAGTGATCCACAGCCTCAACTTGGAAGGGGACCAAGTAAGCGTGGCGTTGGCCTTTCATTTGGTGCAGATGTAACTAAAAAGTTTTTGAAGGAAAACAATTTAGGTATCCCTTCACCATCCCCTTATTTTCTGAGTAGTGATACTGCCTTGTTGGTTTTCTCTCCAACTTTGAAATTTTGATACGAATTGTGGTTTTATACTGTTGATGCACTTTAATTTACAGATTTAGTGGTGCGATCTCATGAAGTCAAGGATGAAGGATATGAGATTGAGCATGACGGAAAACTCATTACTGTCTTTTCTGCTCCCAACTACTGTGATCAGGTAAAATGAGATTTTCTAGTTGTACTTTTCCTCTCAAACATGCTTGGCTCTTCATGTTGCTAGCGATCAAAATCTTGCTGCTAAAGTTAAGAATATTCGCCATGTTAGACTTTTATCCCAGAATCTCTATTGGCAATAAAGTATACCATGTTGCTTCCTTCCCTCTCAAAACTTTTCTGTTTGTTCAAAGTTCTGCAGTATTGGTGGTCACTTAGAGGGAATATCTTTTATACTAACATCTATATGTTTGTTCTGAGATGCAGATGGGTAACAAGGGTGCCTTTATTCGTTTTGAAGCTCCCAGTCTGAAGCCAAATATTGTTACATTTTCAGCAGTGGTCAGTATTTTCTGATTCTTGGTGATATTTTTATTCTTAGGTATTCGTTTGCAGGGTCTCGTTCACCATTTGCCAATGAGAACTAGAAAGGATCTCCCATTTCTCTGCCATTCTTGACTGGTGGTGGGGATTGTTAAGATGATAGGATTGGTTATATGGAATTAATGTTTCACTCGTCTATCATATGCTAGTACTGTGCAAATTTCTCGCCCCTGACTTTTACTTGTATAAAATTGCAGCCGCACCCCGACGTCAAGCCAATGGCATATGCCAATAACTTCTTTCGCATGTTCTCTTGATCATTAATCCTGACTAGGGAACTTAAAATATTACCATCAGACAATATACACATCTGGCTGCAGAAGGGCAAAGTTTTTGCATAATGGGGGAGAAGAAAGGTTCATTAATGTCAAAAGTATTCTTCTTTCTGCAATTTTGAATTCATTTTGCGTACAACTGCTTGTAACAGAAGCCTAATATTCCTGTTGAACCTTCATTGCTGGGATCTCAAAGTTCAGGTATAGCTAGAACCAGGAAAACTTGTATAAAGTCTTGCTCCTTCACGTGTATTTAAATCTTTTCCTGTGCAAGATTCTTATTTTTCTTGCTTGTCTTCGAGATCTGCACTATCGGTAAGTTAGCCTTTTTTATTGGATGTTTAATTGTAAAATAGTTACAGTAACGCCATTTTTCTTCTTCCTTTCAAGTGCATGTCCACCTGAAACATCTAGCTTTTTCCTTTTCAAGTGTTGAGCCAAATTTTGTTTGTAGTTTTAAGCATAAAGCTTGATCAATATTAAAGGTGTCTTTAACAGGAGTGTTCTTTTTCCATGGATGGCATTTTCCTCGTAAATTGATCTTGTTGCCATTACTCGACTTTGTGAAATTAATCTAGGGAACAGGACTCGTTCAGTGGCCCGCACACCACACAATTTTACTGGATTTCAAGATGTGGGATTGTGTGTTCTGGGAGGATACTGATTTGGTAATCTTATCAAGTGTCATAGGCTGCTATTTCCAATCACATCTGGAATAGATGATGCAGTCTATTTCAGGGGCTAGAAAAAGAAAAAGGAAAAACAAGACTACATACATAAATCTTTTGTGAATTACCATCATTGGACTTGGACAAATTGAGAGTTTGGAGAGGAATACAGGCTGATATGCTTCAAAGTTCAAACTCGTAAAATCTTTAATCAGCAGAAGATTTGCATCATTCATTCTGGGATTTAATCCTTGTCCCATCCTACTTCTTTGATTGGTTTCTCATGTCTCAACCATCCAAGAATTCCATGAAAAAGTTGGTGAGATGAGAAGTCAAGTCACAGAGAACTTGGGTCCTTATTATAATATTGGAGGTCAGCAAAAACTCTTCCTAGTTTGATTTTCAAGGGTAAACTAAACGAGTAGTAGAAGGATTGACAAAAGATTCCATTCCATCCTTCCAAGTATCTTGGACACTATTGATTATGAAAACTAAGTCCCTGTTTGGATTGTGATTTTATGCACAAAAATTTTTTTACGTTTTTCGTAAATATATTTTTCAATCACCTTTTTATTTCACATATAGTATATTTTTTTACAAAAACTCCTAAAAATAGCAATCCAAACTAGCTCAATACTTATTTCTAAAATCTGTGTATTACTCACATTCTTACTTGTGATTGAAATTTAATACCTGCATTAGATAACTTGGACCCATGTAGAGACATCAAACATCCTGGAAGATGAAATATTGATAAAGGGTAATGTACAAGGCCAAATTATAAGGTAAAACTCAGAGGGTTTTCATCACCACCCCCCCAACAAAAAAAAAAACAAAAAAAAACCACAATCTCCCCTGGGTAATGTACTTTTACCCAAACAGAAATGAAAACAAAAAAAAAATAAAAATATCACCCTGATTCGAAAAGTCCCAAATCCATCAGCCTTTGATTCCCTTCTGTTTTTTTCACCTTTAATCTTTTTGTTTGTTTTTTGATGTGGTTCTTGTGCTCCAGTGAGCCTGATTGATAAATAGAAACATGCGCAGTTATTTCCAACATCTTTTTCTCTCTCTCCCGCTTGTTCTTTCTATCTCTTTATCTTTCTTGAATCCAAGTTGATAAATGTTTATGACCCTACCTTATGCTTCATAATTTCTCACTCAAAATCATGAAGCCCCCATCATTTCAATCACATCTTGCACAACTCATTTTTCTCCTTTCTTGCCTCTCTCTCTCTGAGAATTCACAGACACACGTGCTTAATCCAATCCTTCACAACCCAACCCCAACCTACCCCCCCCGGCGCGGGGGACTGAGGCAAGAAACCAAATTCTAAAACCAAGGAGCGTAGCTGCAAACTTTTGCAAACATTTTATTTGATGATCAAAGCCCTCACATTTTCACAAACCTCACATCTTCAGCAAGATGTTCTGTTCATTGATCTTTCTCTCTCTCAGATTTCTTCTGCTTCTTCTATTCACATTTACTTCTTTCTCCTCAGCCTCCCCAAGCGTGAATTTCCCAGCTAGTGATAGTCGCATGGATCCACTTGAACTTGAAACATTGTTCAAGATCATGGAGACAGTATCTTCTGATCAAAGCTGGAGGACTGCACATCCAAACCCTTGCAAACCAGGCTCATCTTGGATTGGAATTGAGTGCAAGAGCTCAGGAAATGACAATCTCATTCATGTTTCTAGGCTTGACTTTGGCGTCCCACCAAACCCTTCATGCAAAAGCACAGCCACATTTCCTTCACAAATCTTCCAACTTCCACACCTTGAGTCTGTGTTTTTTATTTCATGCTTCACACACGCCAGAACAACCATTTCATTTCCTATTAAAGTCTCGAGTTCTTCGCTGCAACAGCTGAGCATTCGATCAAATCCTGCACTTGTCGGCCTCATCCCATTTCAACTTTCCTCCTTAAAATCACTCCAGATCCTCACGTTGTCGCAAAACCTTTTATCCGGAACAATTCCAGCTCAAATTTTTAGTCTGAGTTCCCTTTTGCACCTTGATCTAAGCTACAATATGCTCACTGGAAGAATTTCATTCCAAGTGGGAAATCTAAAAAACCTCGTTGGCCTTGATTTGAGCTATAACAAGCTCACAGGCGCAATTCCCAGCACAATTGGCCAATTGGGTATGCTTCAGAAGCTTGACTTGAGTTCCAATAAACTCACGGGAAGGATTCCAGAAACCATAGGGAATCTACATTCTTTGGTCTTCATTGCCTTGAGCAGCAATGAATTAAAAGGGCTTTTGCCCAAAGGAGTCTCAATGCTGCAAAACTTACAATACTTCCTTATGGATGATAATCCAATGTTCATATCACTGCCATCAGAGTTCGGTGAACTGCAGAAACTTCAAGAGCTCAGGCTGGCCAATTCAGGATATTCTGGCAAAATCCCACCAACCTATTCAAAGCTAAGTAACTTGAGCACATTATCCTTACAAAACAACCGATTAACAGGCGAAATTCCGGCAAGTTTTGGCAGCTTATCACACATTTATCACTTGAACTTGAGCAGAAATTTCTTGGATGGCGTTGTTCCTTTCAATTCAAGTTTCCTAAACAGGTTAGGAAAGAATTTGGACATTAGTGGGAATCCAGGGCTCTGTTTAAGTCCATCTGAAGCAAATGGCTTCAACCTTGGAGTTAATGTTTGTGGCAGCAACAAATCAGGCTCTTCGATCTTACCATGGGAAAAGTCTGAAGCTCATCAACATGGGATCCCAAGACCATTATTCTTTTTATTAGTACTACTTAGTACTATGATTTCTGTAGCACTATCGAACATTTAATGGCTTCGTGTGTTTTCTCTGATTCTTTTTGTGTTTAAGAAGGTACTGTATAAGAGATTAAATGTATGTACTTTAAGTTTAGATAATACAATATATTATAGTAGGATGAGAATTTATTTCTGCGTTCATATATTTTTTTTGCAAATTCTATTGCACGCAAGCTGCAGTCAGCCTGCAAAGCACAGCCTCGTTGATTGTTTGGTACCTTAGTCTTGAGAGATCTTCAGGTCAGCATCCAAAAGTATAGTTGAGAATTGAAGTTTTGACTCAACTTAGATATCCAAAGGGTCCCAGGTTTTAGCTTAATTTCCAGTTCATGAAACAGATGGATTCTATGTTTTCAGACAAAAAGTGTTTAGATTCTGCTTTTGTATTCTTTTATGTACGTCACTCTAACTAGATCTCATCTTAGCTTGGATTCAAGAAATAAACTCAAGGGTTTTGTTAATTGCTTTAGCACAAATAAAGAGGAAAAAATAAGTTAAAATTTGCCATTTCTTTTCCTTTTCTTCCCTAGTCTTCAAACTTTGTTTAATTTCCTGCACAGAAGAAAAGTTCTTTTTAGTTAGTGGTATCTTTTGTTTATTTATTCTCTTTTATGTTACCAGATATAGGTAAGCTATTCGACACAAATGACTTGAACCGAAACAGTTTCTTTATTTGGGCCTCAACCAAGCGAAAGTCCCAATGGCAATCCCAGTTTTTCCTAAATGTATACGTTGGAAGGTGCAGAAGTAAATTTCTGCAGAGATCCCCAGTAAATTTTGCCATAGATACATTCCAAAAATTTTACTTAAAATTACTATATTTGGATACAGTAAAACTCACGTTTGGAGACAAAGATTAGTAATATTACAGTCTATTACACATATGCTGCTCAATTTTCTGTCCTTGTCAAGTTTGTTAAAAAACTAAAAGATGAAACCTCATGCACACATGATCCAAAGGTGTACCATACAAACTTTAGCATAAAATGTCCAAACCTAAATCTTAAACATGAATCTTCAACTTGCTTCTTTCGAGATGACAGGTACACTACTATTTTCCACATTAAGCAGGGTAAAAGTACAAAATAAGTGTAATCATAATATTACGTATTAACCTCTATCATGTCCTGAATGCCATACTAGCCCCTTCTGTCCCTGTTTGGCACTTGAGTTTTTTTGTCAAGTTTGTCTGCTATAAGTTTTTTAAAAATTTTAGCTACAGTAACGTCAAAAAATTTCTTAAAGTTTTTAAACTATACACTTTAAAAACATTTTTAAAACTTTTACAGTAAATTACAGTAAAATTTTAAATAAACACCAAAAAAACTCACTTCCCAAACGGGATTTTAACTGCTAGATTCAACTCACAGTAACCAATTCATATTACATTATTCAAATTACTTGTTCAAAATTTTGGAGGGATGGAGGGAGTAACAGTATTCACCATTCTTCAATTCAAACCTGTCAAGTGTCAACATCTTGATCATCAACCAGAAGAGAGTACAAAATAAATTTACTCCAGGATACATTCAAGGGGGTGGGAAAAAAAAGGTGTGGGGTTTGTTAGGACAGGGACTGCTTTAACATGAAGAAACAAGACCATCAGAAGACTGAACACAAGGACGCTTGATGGACTCAAGAACTGAAGCTGGATCCCACCTTCACTCTTACACTGAAAATACATTTTAACTTTTCTTAACAGTATTATAGTACATAGGTGCACCTTCTCCCTTGCAGCTTTGCCCCATTGCCTTCGTGTCTTCATCCGCTAGCAGCTTTTTTACGTTTTGCCACGCCCCTACACCTATGTACCCTTTTTTTTCTTCCATCCAAAAAAAAAAAGAAGTTAGAATACACAAGCCATTTTCTAATCTAATAGAAAGGAGGACATTGGAATCTTAAAATCATGAAGACAATCTACTGCAACGAGTTTATAATTCATTTCGAAAGACATTTTAAAACTAGTACGACCATAACTTCATACAAGAAAACTTAAATACACGCTTCATGGTCAAGTTGAATGTGATTGTTGCATAATTTCCTACAGAAAATTGACAATTCAAAGGCATTTGGTCCTGTCCTTTTTTATCTGTGATGACAGATTTAGTAACAAGGAGATTTAGACGACTCCTCAATCGACATATATGGGCAAACGACATATTTTCTGGTGTTTTAGAAATTGCCTAACCATTCAATTTCTTCCAGGCAGGATTGTTTGATTCTAACCCGGGTATAAGGACTACAAAGTGATTGAGCCATGAATACGATCAAAACTCGATTCTAACACGAGTATAGAGAATTTAGCTAGTTGGCTCGTCAAGCCATCTCAATCCTATGTATTTCGTAATAAATCTTTCTGTTATTAGTGATGGAATTGCATATATGTCTCGCATATTTTAATTACTCTTTATTTTAGTTGAGCTTAGTTAGCCTTGAATTCAAGTTCTATTAATAGGCTTTGAGCTTGACTTAGAGTCTAACCTCAAGATAACGAAGAACTCGGTAGAATTTGAGACTCGTCAAAGGCTCGATAGGGTCAAAAATTGACTCAACCCGACTAGTTTGTAACCCTATAATTCAAGAACTCTCTCCAAAGAAAAAGTGCATGGAATCATCTTTGCTGAAATCGACCCTTTTTTTATCATAATTTTTGTTTAGATTGTAGTTTTCTGCAAAAAAAAAAAAAGTTTACGTTTTCCACCAACACAATTTTTAATCATATTTATGCTTCACATATATTGAAATTGTTACAGTGTATTTTTTTTTTTTAAAAAAAAAACTCCTGAAAATAACAATTCGGAAGGGACCTAGTTTGGCATGCGGAATATGCTTGATCAATGCCAATAGTGGGACAACTAGCTAACCTTCACAATATTATTGTACGATCGGAAAAATAATAACTGCACACATCAAACATGTATAAAATCGAATGCAGCTTTTAAGAAATTGATGGAACCATGGAGCACCAATTTGTGAAAGAATAAAACCACCTTCCTCTTTTGTAGAAAGAGAACAACCAAGTAGAGAACAAAAGGGCTCACAAAAGTTTCCATCTTCTTTTCCAATCAGAGTTAAAAGAGTAGTGTTCATTCAATCACTTGTCACAACCCGAATAACTATCACCGCACTATTTTTACGTTGAAAATTTTCACAAGGCCTGAAAATTAGTTGTTCATATTCTGTCATGAACTAAAAAGGGTTCTGGTAGATAACAACTCGTATTGGAAAATGAAGTGGTTTTTACCTCAGTGACAAAATCAATTTAGGGCTTGTTGTCGTTTGCATTACATTTAATAAAAGCTAATTATAGTAAAAAAAAAATTAGATTACGCACAAAAAATCAAACGAGAACATCAACAAATTGATCATCCAAAATCATGATACAGCTACGTACAAAAAAAAAAAAACGAGAACAAGCCCTTTCCTGCCTGCAGCTAAATAGTAATACTACATAAATTTCAATGAATAAAAGGAAAAAAAAACTGTTTTTGTTGTTATAGCATTTCATCGTCAACAGATCCACACTTGCATTAAACAACAGAAACGTTACAGAGAACCTCACGTGGGCAAAACAGTACTAATAGCACAAACATATTGCTTCAATGGGCTGTGTCCTTTTCTTCTTCTGCTATTTTTAGGTAAAGGGAAAATCAGGCTTTGATGTTTACACAGGATACTATTGCATTGTCTCACGAGTAAAGAGATTGCGATGGCTCGTTTGATGAGAGAATAGTTGTAGGAGAGTGTTGGTTTTAACTTCTTCGTTTAATGAATCTCATCTTTTGCACCCAAAATAGGGAAAAACAACAATGCTTAAGAGCACATATCTCCATGAGAAATAATCATGAAAAGCTCAAAAGCTTTGTTATTATCAGGTATAGTAGAAATCCCCGGTGAGAAACAAAAGAGAGGTAAGGGTGAACAAGAAAAAGCTGCAAGAAAAACATCTTAATCCTCGCACGAGAATCTTTTAGGCAATCTGCAGGACTGTAAAGTGGTTATTTTTGTTTTCTTTCTGTTTAAATTTTTCACGCTGTCAAAAAAATTTTTTTTTTTCTTCTTTGGGGGGGGGGGGGGGGGGCGTTTGGTACATTTAAGACAGCCACAAAAACATCATCCTTTACTACAGCCTAATGTATGCTTCACTTTCCTCCCAATGATTTTTGCCTACTGGATCTAGTAAAGCCTCATGGACATAGGCTATGGAAATACTAGTAGCATGGGGTACCATAGTCTTGCAATCCTCCAATTTGTAGTATAGTCTTTTAACTCTTATGTAATGTATGCAGATTTTTTGTAGGGCTGATTGTAGCAAAAAATTTGCAATTGCAACTTCTTATTGAACCAGTTGATTTTCTTTGTGACAAATTTTTTGAGCTTTTGGAGCTTCTTAGTGATGTGGAGAGCAAAATATATTCTAAGTGTATAAGTAATATATTTGTAATCTGTACTGCTTAGTCATCATACAACTGGTTGGCTACTAATTAAGTATATAACTTAACCCTTTTGCGAGAACTAAATACTCCTACAACCTATTGGATTTAATGGTTGGTTTTCACAAGTTCACACCTTCAAATTTCCTTCTCTTCAACTTCCTCAAAGAGTCGAAACTATCAGAAACCAATATGGCAAACCTTATACACTTCATTTAAGAAATTTGCAAAATGTTTCCCAATCAGCTTCTCATCTCATACACACAATTACCCCCCCCCCCCAAAAAAAAGTTGCTATAGTAATATTTTTTTGTGAAAATCACACTAAGAAACAATCATCCAAACTTCAACTTTTTGGTTTGCCTCTGGTCATCAGGTTTGGTAATTCATTTCTCTCCAAACAACTGAAATCCATTTGTTCTCTCTCATGATTCTTCGCAATATTCTGGGCTTGTGTTGGTTTAATTATTTTCTCGGCAAATCTTACCAGACATTACAGCAATAAAGCATTAAGAACAATCTATTTCCTACTATCCCAAATTCCCAGTTCCTTTCCCAAGAAAATATCCTTCAATTTTATTTGCCTCCCTAAAACAGGTTGTTTTTCAATAGAAGACATTATATATATTTGTTTTATGTCATGCAATAGATGTGGTAACTCCTTGTTCCCAAGCCGCTCGCAAGATTCGATCAAACGCTCGATTTGAACTCGAGTTGACCGAGTTTGAGCATAAGTTCGGGTTACTTATTTCAGGTCTCAAGTTGAATTTGAACTCCTTTATATGCTACTCGAGTGCTCGACGAGTTTAATTGAATAGTTCTATTATTTATATAAATTATGAAATGACCATTGTGGGGTTTATGTTTCAGCAAAGTTCAAGTTTTTGTTCGTGTACGCGAGCTCAATAAAGTTTAACAATAGGATCGAGTCTTATTAAGTCGAATTCGAGTTCATGTATTATTTCCATGAGTCGAAGTTGAGCTATAAGTTCTCTCGCTCGAGCTCAAGTAGCCTAAAAATTCATCAAATTTGAGTTTGAACACAGCACTAGTCGAGCTCGACTTGACTTGCCTGCACCCTAGTATCTCCGATCCAGATCCGATCCATTTACAACCTAAGAGCGGGCTCGATCCCGAGGCTGATCATATCTTCTATAACCGGAGTAGCAGTTCAAACTGGCCCACATTATTTTCGGAAGGTCTCATTCTGGGCCAAATGAGGCCACCCACCATTATCCTTCAAAGCCCGAATTCGTCCAACATGAATTATTCACTACAGGATCTCCCAGGGGAGCTTCACTGTGCTCAACGTGTCGCCTTCTTCAACAATGGCTTCAAAACTTCTACTGAGTCAACTCAGAAACATTACCAGACCAACTCACCACCGACTCATAAACCCTAATTTCATCTTTCCACTGAAAAATCAAACGCTCATCCACTCCAGGCCATATTCAGATGCTCCGCAACCACCTCCAGTCGGTTCCAAGCCTCCACCGACTAACGCCGATAGTGCTCCTACACACAAGAAAATTTCGAGCTCCTTAAATCAAGCTGAACTTGCTAAATTCTCCGCCATTGCAGAAACCTGGTAATTAATTTGGATGTTCAAACGCTCCGATCTTTTTGTTTTTCCTTTCTGAGGTGTAAATATATATATTTTTCTGGATGGGTAGGTGGGATGCTGAAGGGCCGTTTAAGCCATTGCATGTGATGAACCCTACAAGACTTGCCTTTATAAGGTCCACATTATGTCGCCATTTCGGGTAATTATTATTATTATTTTACGTTTAATTGATGCCTAATATCTTCAAGTTTGAGTTTTTTTTTAATCAAGCTTTTCATCACGTTTGTATTGTGAATGGGACCGAGGGGCTCAGTGGCAGCAGATATAATTGTAATTGACGTGTCTTATATTAAGGTAGACATATAACATGTCCTCTAGAGTTTGCAATGTGTGCTCTTACGGCCTTGCATCATGCTTAGACACTCAAACATGTCTTAAGACTCATACCACATGTACATTCTCAACTTTAAATGTCAAAACAATCAGCTTTTGTAACGTTTTAGTGCACTTTTTGCTATTTTTCTTGATTTGGGCTCAACCTTGCCGTTAATTGTCTGGTACAGTCCAAACTGTGATTGTTTGATGGCTTTCTCCCTTTCTTGATGTACTTCAAAATGTTAGAAAGTCTAGCATGACATAGTAGTATGTCTCGATATTATTTTTCTTTATTTGTATATTTATTTTGTTGGTTTATGTGGTAGCTGATTATAATGTTTTTTGATGTAGGAAGGACCCATATAGTGCTAAGCCTTTTGAAGGACTGAAATTTGTGGATGTTGGTTGTGGAGGGGGTATTCTGTCTGAGGTATGTAATTTCTATATGTGTGAAATACTTGTGCTGAGAAAGGGGTAAAAGTTTCCTGTTCTGGTAGAAAATAAAGAATTTGTGAATGGAAAATGAGGTGGAAAATAAGAAATGAAAACAAAAAGAAAAACTGAATTGCTTTAACAAAACTTGAATTTAGTTTCGTGTCAGAGTTTCCATCCTGTTTCTCACATTTCAAACGAGCTTGCTCTGCATGTGGCAGAACGGTAATGTCTGACCTATTAGTTTTTGCTGAGGAAAAAGAATGATATTGAATAGTGTGCTTGTACACGAATAATGCTTGCTAAACTTTGCTTTATTTTTATGTCTTCCAAGTCTGGACTGCAAACTCCTGCTCGAATTACCATAATTCTTGCTGTTCTCATGCAGCCTTTGGCTCGAATGGGTGCTACTGTGACTGGAATTGATGCTGTGGAGAAGAATATCAATATTGCTCAACTTCATGCAGTATGTTTTCTTGTAGGATGGATATGAAAGTTGATGTCCATTACATTTGTGTGTGTGTATATATATATATATATATCTATGTCGTCCATATTTACAAATTTATGATTACCCAATGTGGACCTTATTGTACTAAAACTCCAATCAATTGTTTTTGCCTGTTGTTTTTTTCTGTTTTTTTTTTCCCCTGCAAGAGTGGCAAAAGAAAGTTTTTCTACAGCTTTCAGCATTTAATAGGGCTATATTGAACATGTAACTTTTCCAGGATTTGGATCCAGGGACTTCATCGATTGAGTATCTTTGCACAACAGCTGGTACATGCCATACTTGTTTTTGAAATATGAAGGTCGTTATTCATCGATTATTTATAGTTTTTAATGTCCAAGCCAACCTTTTTATATGCTTAGTTTATGCTTGTTTACCTTGGCTGATGGTATTTTGAATAGAGATTATATCCAATAGAAAAAGATTCTAAGAGTCAGTTTAGGTATGTGGCAGTCTTAATGATGTATATGGTTGTGGAGCTACGCTAACTTGTCTGAGCCTGGCAGCGTATAGTGCTCAAACAACATATTCTAGTTTCCAATGCTTCAGTATTTTAGTTTTACCATAAATCTTTCGTGTAGTTGGTGCCTAGTGAGTAAAGATTAGTTTCTAAAAGATTTTTCTGAAAGAGATAGAAGCAGATTTAGCAAAGCTCTGATGGTGAAGTTTAATGTTTCAAACCTCTATGCAAGAAGGTTCTTTGAAACTATTTCTTTTGGTACATTTTTAGATGGAATGACTTTCCATGCATCCTTATTTGTGACATTTATGGAGCACGATATTTTTGATCTTTTTCAATTTAGTCATATCAAGCCCTTTGACTGTTATTTGTCCTTCATCCTGCTGATGCACTCGCAATTTCATGAACAGAAAAGTTGGTGGAAGAGCAGAGGAAATTTGATGCTGTATTGGCTTTAGAGGTAAGTTTATGGTAACAATTATGCAACTTATCCTACTGTGAAATTGACTAAACGGTGGCCATGCATTGTCTGCTACGTTCTAAACTGAACCTGACACTTGTATCTGGTTATTAACTGCTTTCTTGTTCTTCCTACTATGCTAGATTTTGTGTTTTATCATCTCATTTAGCAAGTAATGTAGTAGCATTTAATGATCATTTTTTTTTCTTGCTATTTGTAATGGAAGAACTATGTCTTAGCTGCTGTTTTTCATCTAGGTTATCGAGCATGTAGCAGAACCTGCTGAATTCTGCAAGTCATTGTCAGCACTGACTGTTTCTGGCGGAGCTAATGTGATTTCAACAATAAATCGTTCCATGAGAGCATATGCAACTGCCATTGTTGTTGCCGAGTATCTCTTACATTGGGTAAGCCTATCTAATCCACACCATGTTTGTCTATTGGCTTAACGTTAGTGGAGCTTTTTTGGTCATAATTTTCACGTTCTTTTCGCCAATTTCCTTCAAAGAAATTGACTTTTTCCTTTAACATTAATATGAAACAATTCTTTGATATTTGTTGACGTCCTTTAGAATAAAAGTGGACCGTCTGTAAAAATGGATAAAAGTTGAGAGAATTAACACACTCTTTTATTCATGTTTACTATTTTGATTCCTGATAAACTTGCTTGTCATTTGTTCTGCTCATCAAGACAATTTTACAATTCTGTACTGTTACAGGAAAAGCTTCAATTTCTATGACTCGTGTTGATTATCTTGTACTGTGTACCTGGGTCAACCATGGCCGATTCAGATATCTCTTATTTATTCAACCAATTTGGAGACACATTATGATAACCATCTCACTGCATGGTTTTTATCCCGAGATAGCGTTTGATTAGTCTGCCTTAGATAGCTGCCTTGCTTAACAGGCTGATTTTTCACACAACATCATCTGGTGTGGTTTTTTGTACTACTTTGTGAATCGTATGAGAGGTTAAATGATTCTTCTGTTTGACAGCTACCCAAGGGCACACATGAGTGGTCAAGCTTCCTTACCCCTGAAGAACTTGTTCTAATTCTTCAACGGGCCTCCATCTCTGTAAGTAGAATACATACCCCAGTCCTTTATTTTTTAGCCCTTTTTTAGTAGACATTGAATCCTATGAAAGGTGTCTCATGCTCTTGGGGTTTGTCCAGGTTCAAGAGATGGCAGGGTTTGTGTATAACCCTTTGACAGGAAAATGGTCTCTATCTGATGATATCAGTGTAAATTTCATCGCTTACGGCACAAAAAACACTGAATGAGCTATATCTTCAGCTGGATCAAGCTACAGTTTTGTCGAGGTTATATATTATAGTGGTTAGAGGCGGCTGCTGTTGGGTGGGATACTATGAACAAACAATTTTGTTTGGTCGGTATATAATCCGCAGTAACTTTTGTTCAAGACTTTATGAAGTTTAAGAAAGCACACTGCCGCAATTTGCAATGCAATTAGTAGGTGGCAGTATTTGTTTTTCGGAAATGGGACGTGTCCGGCTGCACCGAAGCCTCCGTAGCTGTTCTACTCTCTGCCCAGAATTGAAAGCCCAGAATTCAAAGTCGGGTTTGCTGACCAATGAGATAAATATTTCCTCTGCTCTGATTATTTGATTATTTTATTGGGTATTTTGGATTCCCGATCTTGTATTTTGGGATTATTATAGGTTAATATTAAATCTTTCCTTGTTCTTTTGTAGTTCACTTTTCCCATTTGTTTGCTTTTTATTTTTTATTTGCAAGCTACGAGCGAAAACCGACCATTTGGGCCATGTGAAATGTGCACGTTTTCCAGCACTTACTCAAAAATTATTTGCTTTCTTTATGAACATATCTCTCAGAACACATTTTTATCTTTTCAATCACATTTTTATTTTACGTACACTATATTACAAAAAAAGTGTTCTAATAATTATTCTAAATAATATTTCAAATAATTTGCTATTCAAACACGCTATTACGTGAAAACAAGTAGTCCGTTATTTTGATGCTTTAGAAATTAATCTTTTGTTTTCTTACAATACACCAAAGAAGCTTCTTTCTAGTGTGATATCGGAAGGGTTGATGTTAGAGAGCTCAAATTTTAATGTGTGTTTAGGTTATACATTATTTTTACTTTATTTATATACACTGATTTGCTTATATCATCAATATATTTTTTAACTATCTTTTTATTTTACATACATCACATTAAAAAAGTGCTATAGTCTTTTTTTACAAATTTATCTCAAATAATTACTATTCAAACACACTGATATATGTCGCAAAATTTTTTTGAAGAAATTATCAAATTTATAGGTCTTTGTAATTGGACTTATTTTACATCAAAAAAAAAAAGTATTGTGATTTTAATAAGAATTGATCTAAAATCAAAATCTAACGTGCTGCTGTATCACATGTGGATGGGAATTGAAAGTTGCTACTTGGTACAGTTTCTATTTTATGTTGTGCACTTTAAATTTGTTGATTTGATGTGAATTTCCATGGCTTTAAAGTTGGTTAAAATTTTAACTATTATACTGTATATATATATATATGTTAAAATTTTGAATTAGATGGATTATATATATATATGTTTTGGAAATTAACTTTTGAGAGTTCATTTGTTTGTGCTCCTAAATATAGTAACATACATTAAAAAAAAAAAAAGAAGGAGAAGAAGAAAAAAGAAAGAAACAAAATCCAAATTGTATTGCACAATAGTCAGTCAATAGGTGGATGAGAGAAGATAATCATTTGATTTATTATTTATTATTTAATTGGTTAGACGCAATAGCGTAAATGCTTACAGCGTACTTTCGCAAGCGATCTCTACGGATATATAAAGAGCTGTAACAATCACGAAACACTTCCTACTCTCTCTTTTCATCTCTTTCTTTACAACTGAATCTGAGCAAAAGAAAAGATGGAGAATTTGGATTCTTCGGTAGTGGCTCGTAGCCGTTTAGCGGTGCTCTCGGCTCACCTCTCAGCTTCAGCTTCAGCTTCGCATGACCATTCCGACGCCGTTCCGTCCTCAATTCTAGAACGTTCCTGCGTCTCCGCTCAATCCGTCCCGCCTCCGCCCAACGTTAAGGGTGCGTTGACGATCATCGATGAACGGACCGGTAAAAAGTACCAGGTCCAGGTCTCTGAAGAAGGCACTATTAAAGCCACCGATCTCAAAAAGGTTAACTTTTTTTTTTTTTTTCAAATAAAATTGAAGCCGAATAAGATGTCATTTCTCGCTATTAACTGCTGTAGCTATTCGTTATTTAAGTTTTGATTTTTTTTTTGTTTGAGTTTGTTATTGTTATAATTTCGGATTTATTTTTTTTTATTATTGAGAATTGAGTTTGTTTAAAGGTTACATGTCCAATTTTACATTTCTTTGGAATCCTTACTGTATATTTAGTTTTCATTTTATGAGAATGTACCGCAAAGGTATTGTCATTTTCAAAAGACTGGCTTTTGGTCTTTGTGTATTTTAAGGCCTCGAAATTAAAATATTTGGGATTGAGCGTGATGAAGTGCTTACGGAGCTGAGTAAAAATCTCATGTAGCATGATTTATATGATTGCTGAGCTGCATGTAAGATTAGTCGTGGTATTGGCTGTAAAAATTGGAATTCTAGGTTTGGAATTGCATGAAGGTATGGTAAATTCCATAGAGAGTAAAAAGTGAAAAAAAATGGTGAAATTCTGGTTCATGTTGGCTATTGTCTGAGGGGAGAAAAAGTCTGGATTTTTGGAGATTTCTGATACAATTAATAAACAGATAACTGCAGGACCAATTGACAAGGGGCTCAAACTTTATGATCCAGGCTACCTGAACACAGCTCCTGTTCGCTCATCAATTTGCTACATTGATGGAGATGCAGGGATTCTTAGATACAGAGGCTTCCCAATTGAGGAGCTGGCTGAAGGAAGTTCCTTTGTCGAGGTGGCTTACCTCTTGAGTGAGTATTCCATAGATTTTGTGAATGATATTTTGCTCCCATTCTTCTTTACCATTTCTTTTCAATCAGGCATGTCATATACAGGGAAGTGAAAGTGTTGGGGTTGTGTGGAGTGGGCAGGGGGCAGCAATACGGGGTTCATTCTTTTGACCCTTAGTAAAACAAGAGTTTGAAGGTTCCCCTATGCATGAAGTACTAATTAACCAGCTACCAGGCTATTATTAAGATTCCCTTTCTTTTGATTCATACTTTTTGAGGACCGTAATCTGTTGGTAGCTACCTTTCTTTCTTGATGTAGAACTGAGTGTCCCCCAAATTGGACTTCGGCCAGCTCTGTGGCTTAATCTTCTGTGCAGATTGTTTTTATTATCCAAGACGAAGATCACCCTGTTATGAGTTCACTTGTTATGGCTTAATATGTGTCTATGGCTTAATACATTTCTATGGGCAGTCTGGTGCATGAATTTGTCTGGCTGGTGAGGACTCTTAAGTACCATAGGTGCTGTTAAGATTTCAATAAGGAGAGTGCAATTTGCATGCTTTCTTCCTTTCCTCATCTAATCCGGAATCATTATCTATGTACAAATCTTGGGAAGTCGTAGAGGACGCAATTTGCAAGGCTTACTCTTTGCACGATCTGTTTGTTCGAATCACTTGTTTATGCTTGGAACTGAAGAGTTCTTGACAAATAAAGCGTTTTTTGTCTTGACAGTGTATGGCAATCTACCATCTGAAAGTCAGTTGGCAGATTGGGAGTTTGCTATTTCACAACATTCAGCTGTCCCACAGGGTATTTTGGTGCGTATATTTTATCATACAGTTGTTCTTTACTTGATGAGGAGACAAAACAAACTTTCTTCCTGAAGAATTTCTGATGTTTGTCAAATTCTGTTTTGCAGGATATCATACAGGCAATGCCTCATGATGCTCATCCAATGGGTGTGCTCGTCAGTGCCATGAGTGCTCTCTCTGTCTTTCATCCTGATGCCAATCCTGCTCTTAGAGTAAGTGAACCTTTACTTCAAGTACTTATGTTACCCTTGCCTTGTTATCTTAGTGGTAGGCATACTTAGGTTATAGGCGTTCATCTGATCCTGTTGATTTTATGTCTCTGGTAGATTATGATCATTTAGCATATTTGTTGATAAAAAACAAAGCAGGCGTTCATGTTATTTATTGCACATTTTGTTTTCTTGTTGTTTATGCAGGGCCAAGATTTATACAAGTCCAAGCAAGTTAGAGATAAACAAATAGTCCGCATACTTGGGAAGGTTGGTTATTTGCTTTAAGTTTCATCTGGCTATTTTGTTTTGTCATGAAGTGTTTTTTATTTATGATGATAGTTGATAGGGACTTTTTTTACTTGAAAAATATAACATAATAAAACTATCTGGCCTATTTCAGCTGTTTTTAAACTTCTATTTATCTTTTGCAGGCACCTACAATTGCAGCAGCAGCCTATTTAAGAATGGCGGGAAGGCCACCTGTTCTTCCATCAAACAATCTTTCTTACTCGGAGAACTTCCTATACATGCTTGATTCATTGTAAGTTGTGCTGCTATTTTTTGCCTAGTGCTTGGCAGATAATGGGAACTGCAGTACAGAAAAGTTTGAAACTTTATTCAGACTAATTACCTTTCTTACAAGTGTTGCATAATGTCCTGCATACATGCTGCTATAGCAACTAGGCATGCTTCCAAGGCATTTGGATGCTAATTTAACCCTTCATGTTGGCAAAATCTGCAGAGGTAATAGGTTGTATAAGCCCAATCCTCGTCTTGCTCGTGTTCTCGATATCCTTTTTATATTACATGCAGAACATGAAATGAATTGTTCCACAGCAGCTGCTCGACATCTGGCTTCAAGGTATATGAATTTTCTGTCTGCATTGAGAGAATATACATATGCTCTTGGGCAGAAATCTGATTCTCTTTTATGCAGTGGTGTTGATGTATACACTGCTCTTGCCGGAGCAGTGGGAGCACTGTATGGTCCTCTTCATGGTGGAGCCAATGAGGTATATTGCCATTTTTTCTTTTAGAAACTAAAAACTTCAGTTGACCGGCGACAGCATTGCAAATGCTAAGCTGGATAAAAAACGTTATTGACATTGTTACCTGTCAATATGATGTTAACAGAGATGTCATTGGTTTTATTTTTGTTTAGCCTTAGTCTTATAGTGCAACACTGCGCATAGCTAAGCTTGCTTTTCTTCTGCTTCAAAAGGCTGTGCTTAAGATGCTGAGTGAGATTGGAACAGTTGACAAAATCCCGGAATTCATCGAGGGTGTGAAGAACAGGTATGGCTTTTCAGACAAATGATGATACTATCTCTTAGCATATGGCTTCATTGCTTTTCTGCTGATATTATTTTGGAATATTAATTCTGTAGGAGGCGCAAGATGTCTGGTTTTGGACACCGTGTATACAAGAATTATGATCCCAGGGCTAAGGTCATAAAGAAGCTGGCAGAAGAAGTATTTTCAATTGTTGGCCGGGATCCTCTCATTGAGGTGGAATTTGTTCACTTTAAATATTAACTATCATCTATTTGAGTTGAACCAAGTACTGGCAATCACTAGTTTGTAGCATAAGCTTTTATAATTTGAATATATTGTCCTTTCATCTTTATAAAATACCACTTATTTTGCACTATATAATCTGATTTCTTATGCCACCTGCAGGTTGCAATTGCTTTGGAGAAAGCTGCCCTTTCAGATGAGTACTTTGTTAAGCGAAAGTTGTATCCTAATGTTGACTTTTACTCTGGGCTAATATATAGGTAATGGGGAAAATAAATTTGATTCCACTCTTATCAAGCAAGCAATTCTTAATGCATTATCTTCTTTCTAACAGATTTTCATTATTCTTGATCAGGGCAATGGGTT